GATAACAGTCAGACGCCTGGACAAGCCTTGGCAGTCTCTCTGTGACATCCCCGCTTCGAGCCCCTGGCAGGCAGAACACCTCTCTGGACAAGGGGTTGGGCCTACAGACTGGTACCTCCGTGCCCTGCAGCAAGGAGCCACCCATGACCATCACTCGCCGCTTCTTCCGAGTGCTCCTTCTCTCCTTAGTGGGAGCAGCCTTCAGGTGCGGGCTTGACTGCCTCACTCTGGAAAACCCCCTGGATGGATCTTGGCCCGTGGCATCATTGGTGTGGTCCTCAAGTTCCAGGGCCTCATACCTGTTGAACACGGTCGCTTGGGGCGGACAAGGTAGGCCGGGAAAGGGTTCTCCCGTCACCTCAAACAGGGACTCCTTCCRTTCTTGTTCCTCTCTCAGTACTGTTAATTCTGCCCCCTGTGCCCTATGGCAAGAGGGTAGGGGATCCTCAGATGCCTTTGGGGGCTTCTCCGGGGGCGCTTCCCGAGTCCACTGCAGMAGGTGGCTCCACCAGTCTGTTTCTTTCTCGCATTCCCTGACGCCCCTCAGCCTTTCTACCTGCTCCTCCCGCTCCACCCGCAGGCTGAGCAGGTTGTCCACCTGCTCACGCCTAAGGCAGGGGTCGTGTCTGCTGCTCCCCGGGCACGTGGAGAGGCTCAGACCCTCCCACAGCCAGGGAGCTGGACTGCCGCACGTGTCTGTGGTGGTTCAGTGTGCGTCACCAAGGTCTTCCTCAGTGTGGGYGTGCGTCAGGGTGTGCCTGTCAGTGCRACACCCTCTCCCTTAAGGGAGGGTGTYGAGAGGATGAGGCTGGACTCTTCTCAGTGGTGGCCAGTGACAGGACAAGRGGTTATGGCTACAAACTGAAACACAGGAATTTCCATCTTAAGGTGAGGAAAAGTTTCTTTAATGTGAGGGTGACAGAACAAGCAACACGTTGCGCAGAGCCGCGGGGAAGTCTCCTTCCCAACCAGCAGATACTGAAATCCCGTCCGGATGCGACCTGTGCAGGGTGCTGCAGGTGACGCCGCTCGAGCAGGGAGGTTGGGATCTCGCACGGCTCCTTCCCGCCTCAATCACCCTGGAATTCTGGGATTCCCAAGCAGGCAAGAGAGCCCACGCACAGTGAGACACAAAGCCAGAGCGACACGCCAGCAMACAAACCTCACCCCAGGGGACAAAAGCAAAGTCCACCAGGGCAAGCCCAACTAGTCACTCCTGTTGATGCACCTTCCCTCCTGCCCCTTTGCTGCTTTCGCTGTCACTAGCAGGCAACACTTGGCCAACACAAGGTGGATGGGCTCGGAGGCCCGAGACGGCAGCGGGCGGGCGAGCTCCTCTCTGCCTTGGCACGAGGAAGGATGGGAGCCACCAGAAGGAGCTCCGGGCAGCACAGTTCTTTGGGAGCGCGTGTCCCCTGGGAAAGGGAAGAGCCTCCCTTGGCTCTCCCAATGCTCACGTGCCCCCCTRCTTTGCTGGGACCGCTGGGCATGCGTGTGAGGCAGGAACAGCCTTGGCAACACATTCCGGAGAGGATTCCGGGGGGAAACCTGCCCGTGTTCTCAGCGGGCAGAACACGCGAGGCCGCAGCAGACAGCGTTTCTAACGCTTCCTACAAGGAAAATCTCTGAAAGGGGAACATCCCAAGCAGGGACACTAAAATATGTGTAGAGAACGAGGACACCCGGGTGTCGGTGAGGTTGAAGGGCAGTAAAGGCATGAGCAGAGCTGAGCCTGGCTGAGCGCTGGCGTGCAGGTGTGGGAAGGCAAAGTGCTGCACCGAGGAAAGGACACTGTCTGCTTGGCAAATCCCTGCACMGTTTCTGCTCAGATCCCCATGTGGCTCTTTGGAGTCTTCCCCTCTAAAGCCTTCTGCAGAACACACTCAGCAGCATCAGCAGCATCAGAGAGAAACTTCCTCAAAAGAAAGAACATGGTGCAGAAAGCAATACCTGCAGACAGCAGGCTGCCTACCACCTGTAACTGTTTTGGCAAGAATTTGATCAAAATCGGAGCATATTTCACAGCGACGTCAAAGCTCTTGGTCAACRTATTAATTACAAGATCCTTGGATATTTCGTGGAGCAGGGGGGACTTGATGACAGCCTTCAGCTCCTCCWCAGGCTTGTTCACCTGCCTTGCAAGCCTCTGCAGGGATTCYTCAGCCAGGCCAAAGGTCCGGCAATACTCTCTAAGGGATGTCACCAGGATTGTAGAGTCAAAAGCAGTAGAGAGACACTTGGTGGGACCAACAGATGCTCCACATGACGCAAGGCTTTTCAGCCAGACGTACTYCATCAGCTCCTCCTTTTTCCTCCTCAGCACCTCCTTTGAAGTGACACCCACAGCCCATAGGAAGGTGAGTTTCTTCTCACTTGGCAGATCCTCCAAGAAGGTTTGCAGCAGTCTAGGACCATCATACATGAAGCCAAAACCATCCCTGCAGACAAGGAAGACTTGTGGGGAGCGTATGCCCAGACGGGCCAGGTTCTTTTCACAGTACTCCCTGATCTTCTCCAGGACGGCCCTCTCATCGTACTGCTGGGACCGGCCCCCACTTGCTGCCTTCTCCCCTTCAGCCATCAGGATTCCCTTCTCATCGTAGAATCGTCGCTCATTGCTCACGTCCTGGTCCACCTTGGAGCGCACAAAGTAGAAGCGCTTCCCCTGAGCCTGGRTGGCCTTGGCAAGAAGGGCATCATTGCTGGAGAAGCGGCAGGAGGASATGATGATGAAGAAGTCATAGCGGTGGAASTTCACCTTCTCAAGGWAGGTGTCTGCTTTGAAAYYRGGAGTGCCAATGCCAGGCAGGTCCCAGAAGGTCACGTTGGRGTACTCAGGGTGAGGATATGGGGTGCACTCAAACGTTGTMTCCRTCACTCCAGTKGCTGCYGCACCCTTCTCATGGTCCTTCAGGCCGCGCATGGCATTGATGAAAGAAGATTTCCCAGCGCCCGAGTCACCTGTGACAGCAACGTGGAGCTGGRTCTTGTCTGCATCAGCCAGGATCTCCTGTGCCTTTGCAGCTGCTGCTGTGAGGTCTCCTTTCTCAGCTGCAGCCCTTATCTCATCCATGTCTTCTTCAGAAATGTGGGGAAGTGCTTCTCCCTCCAAGCCTGCATCAACACCAGCCATATTAACTGCCTCCAGTGTGTTGCCCTCACCCTGGAAGGAGAGCAGGAGCTTTCACTTTTGGTTTGCAGCAGCAGRAAGAGCAATTCAGCGCAAGGCTGGAGGCCCAGGCAGAGCCAGGRCACCAGAGCGCCCTGCCGTGATGGACCTTGACCTTCCTTCTTCCCTGGGGACCAGGTAGGAAAGCCCTGACCCACGACAGCAGCGCAGCTTTGGGGTGCCACAGGAGGCACACCACAGGTGTGGGTGGACACTCAAGTCCTTTGTCCTCTGTGCCCATTGGCACCATCCATTCCCAACACCCCCGTTCCCTTGGACACTGGCATTGCGCTCCTCTTCCCCTCCCAAACATGCAAACCTCCCTCTCCTGCRCMGAGGGAGCAGCGCAGCCCCTGGCTCCCTCTGCCCTGGGCAGCAGTACCTGGCTCCTGGGCAGGGTGTCCAGGGGGGCTCTTACACCTCCGGGCAGCTGCTGAGGAGCACCAGAAGTTTCCTGGATGATCGGCAGGGAGCACAGAGCACAGTTCCTGCTTTGCTGCTCTGATTGAATTTCAAAGGTCAGCCCAGTTTGACMTTTAGCCAAGAGGGCTGGGTTTGCCTTTAAGGAGGCTCCTGATAAACCACCAGTGGGACTTTTCTCCTCAGGCCTCCGACGGTCCCTGGCCAGTCCCTCACGTGATGGTGGCTGAGTTCTCATCTTGTGAGACTAAGCCAAGTTAGTCATAGGTTGCACTGTGCAAAAATAGCATCCAGACTAGCAAGCACCACCATGCTTACTGSATTCCCAGAAAACTCAGGCACTCAAGCCATGGCTATCCTGGACTGCAGCAAAGAGGAAAATCTCACCTGACCCACCAAGCTTGAGTAGCACTCAGGACCACGGCTTTGAACTTTGGCGTTGGGGTTAGTTTGAAGCTAAATAGCCTGTCCTTGTGATCTTGCTGAGGTCCGTGTGYGTCCCTGTGTTGTTCACAGCAAGCAGGTCAGATGCCTGCACAGTTTCACAAGCTGTTCTGCTTACATGGATTTATTCTGCTTAAAGATTGGAAATGGATTAAATCCTTAAATGGATTTAATCCTTAAATAGATTTATTCTGCTTAAAGCTGGAAAGCAGCTCTGCAGAGAGGGACCTGGGCCTGATGGTGGATGACACGATGACCATGAGGCAGCAGTGTGCCCTGAAGTGGCCAAGAAGGCCAATGGGATCCTGGGGTGCATCAAGAAGAGCGTCTCCAGCAGGTCGAGGGAGGTGATCATCCCCCTCTACTCAGCCCTGGTGAGGCCACATCTGGAGACTGTGTCCAGGTCTGGGCTTCCCAGTACAAGAGGGATGTGGA